ATGAGTCATGAATGCATCTAGTTCTGAGTCAAGTCGCACTGACCAGCAGGCAGTATCATCCTCAGCGCCTGAGGGACATGAGCACATGCGGAAAATGTTGGATAGCTGTTGTTGGGTAAGGCAAACCAGGCTCTTTGCTAGCTCCAAGTGAAAAAGCACCCTCGCCGGATTGATCTGAGCGCGGAACGAGTTTGAATATCTGTTGGTCGTAAATGCGGCGCTCCATACTTGGTAACCACTGCCTGCAAGCCCATGTAGAAAAATCCAGGGACTCTTTCCGTGACGCTAACTTAGTTTGGCCTGCATCTGCGGTACATATTTACATAGAAAATTGCATCTTCTAATTCTATTTCATCAGAGGGAGTTTAGAAGGAACTTTACAAGGTACGGCAACTAATTGAAAGGCCGGCTCTCTGAAAGAAGACAAGAAAATATGCACAAACGTTAACATTTGGCAAGGTCAGTTACAGATCTCGCGGCAGGCGCAGCGCTTTTGCGATGTCAGGCACAGTGCCCCGCAGGCACCAGGCAGGTACATAGAAATCGAAGATTCAATGAATAAACATTAATAGAAAATAACTGTTGTATATGTACATGAAAAGATCGATCGATGGATCCATCGATAGATAGATAGATAGATAGATAGATAGATAGATTAGATAGATGGATGGATAGATAGATAGAAGGGTAGAGAGACAGAGAGATAGAGAGATAGAGAGATAGAGAGATAGAGAGATAGAGAGATAGATAAAGAGATACAAAGATACAAAGATAGAGAGATAGAGAGGTAGAGAGATAGAGAGATAGAGAGATAGATAGATAGATAGATAGATAGATAGATAGATAGATAGATAGATAGATAGATACATACATAGATACATAGATAGATAGATAGATAAAGAGATACAAAGATACAAAGATAGAGAGACAGAGAGGTAGAGAGATAGAGAGATAGAGAGATAGAGAGATAGATAGATAGATAGATAGAAAGATAGATAGATAGATAGATAGAGAGAGAGAGAGAGAGATAGATAGATCAAAGATAGAGAGATAGAGAGATAAAGAGATAGATCGATAGATAGAGAGATAGAGAGATAGAGAGATAGAGAGATAGAGAGATAGAGAGAAAGAGAGATAGAGAGATAGATTGGTGGTTGTTCTAAACTCCTTTGTCTCGAAACGGCCGATACGTTCGCGAATCTTTTGCGGATTCATCGCCGTGCACTTTTCATTGCTCAAGTCAGAAAGTCGCAGGTTTCAAGTCCCAGTTTAGTACGCGAAAACTTCCGCAGCTCCGGCTGGAAAGTCGCAACTGTTCAGCACTAGTACACGAAATGCACTGCCGCAGTTGCAGAACGAAAGCCGCGCAGCTCCAGCTTGAAGTCGCAACTTTTCAGTACCAAGCTAGTACTCTGACTAGCGCGGCGCTCAGAAAGTACCTCCCTCGCAACGTTTCTAAAGCCACCAGCTAACACCCACACACCTGGAGCACTACCCAGCGAAGCAATGTTTTAAAACTGTAGCGTCACCAGGCTTTATCAGGGGACAAACAACAAAAGGTGTTAATCAGCTTAAAAGGAGGATTCAGCAGAAATGATGATGATTTACAAGATGCAACTACGCAAAACTTTCGCGAACAAAAAAGTTACTTTCGCAACTCCATCGCAAATATTTTTCTCGGAGCTACCTCGACAACACCGATGGTCACCGAATACTAAACTCCTTACAAGGACCTTTAGAACGACTCCCAGATAGATAGATAGATAGATAGATAGATAGATAGATAGACTAGATAGATAGATAGATAGGTAGGTAGGTAGATAGATAGATAGATAGATAGATACATGGTAGAGAGAGATAGATAGATAGAGATAGATAGCTAGATAGAGATAGATAGCTAGATAGAAAAAGGAAAAAGACAGAAAGAGAAAGAAAGGGCAAAGAGAAGGAGGAGGAAGGGAAACAAAAGAAGAGAGAAAGAGAGACATAAAGAAAGAACGAAAAAATGCACGAAAGAAAACAAAGAGAAGGAAGAGAAAGAGCGAGAGAGAGAGAGAGAGATAAAACGACAGAAAACAAAACAGAGAGGAGTGAAATACAAAGAAGAAAACGGAAAAGAACAGAAAAGGCAGAAATAAGACACAGAGAAAGATAACTGCAATTCTTAATGTGTTTTGAAACTTCCTCCCACCGGCTGCGACGGATCTACTGGTATTTAGAACACTCCAAAGCAAAAAGTTGATTTGGAGACGACACCAGTCGCGGCAGCCTCGACTGCTTGGCCCAGGCTCTTGGAAGACTCCAGCTTGCCGTAAATCTGCCTAGGAGTACGGTACATACTCAGGACTGTGAGACGGGTGGCACTAAGAATGAGGCTGGATCTTCTCGACCTTGCCAATGTCCACAAATGCAAAAGGACTGACAATTACAGTAGCATGTTTCAAGCACGAATTCGAAAGAGCTTCAAGTCGCAAGAAAGATCACAGCTTCGATGCTGAACCTCTTGGGGATACACCACGCGGTCCGATCAGACTTCCTTGCGAGTCCCTGGAGCTTTCAAGAGTCAAGCGGAAACTTGGAGAGCATCTTTGGTGTGGGCTTCTGGCAAAGCCTCTCTGGTGCGATAGCCATCTTTATTTATGCGCGGCCTTGTCGTGCGTCAGCTTGCCGTTGCTTCTACTTGTGGGGCTCTATAACGCATGCGTTAGAATTGCACCGCTCTTTGACGGTAGCAAACATCAAACATGTGAATGAGAGAGGATGGAAAGTAATTTTAACCTCATCAACCAGCGCGGCAACACTCCTGCTTGACGTTTGAATGTTACGCGCGCTGTCAGCCACCGTTTGCTTGCACGTGTGCCACTATTTGTGGGAGTGAATCGACTGTCCTGCTTCAGCAATTATTTGTTTCTCCAAGGGTGGGTCTAGAGCTTTGAGCTTGGTGGCTTGCTTGCGCGCAGCCCTGAGGTAAAACTTGACCCAGCAACTAGAGGGGTACATGACATGCCTCACGTGATCCACAGCTGTCAGACCTTTCCACACAGAAGACTCCTGAGCCGCAGGCAGTTTCTGCACCGCATCTCTCCGTGCAGCGTGTCAGAAACGAAGCGTCACCTATGCAAGTGTTGTCAGAATCAGCCACACACACTCTCACTGCCAATGACATCAGGTCCGCACTCATCAATGTAGTCAGAGCCGACGCTTCCGCAGCTTTCATGGGTTCATCAAAAATGATCTCCCGGGCCATGCGCGCTTCAAGGACCAAGTATGACCAAGAGCATGATGGCAAACGTTAGCTGTTGGCTGCCTCTTCCTCGTCAGGGAGGTCAGCTCCAATCTCCGAAAAGTCCCTGCCACAACGAGGCAGGCAAAACAACTCCAGCTATTCACAAAGCAAAACCCAGCCTTCCCTCATCCGGAGCATCAGCCATCTTTGCCGAGCAGGAACCAATTGATGCCAACTGCTGTTATCCTACACTGGAAATTGTCCGCAAGTTGTTTTCTTTCTGGGTGAAATGGTAAGCGCACCAAGTGTCCCAGAGTCACTCGAATGCAAACATAGACATCGCACATCTTGAGCAGAAGGGTTGGTCATGGTGGCACATGGCAGCCTTGCTATACACAATATGGTTCTCTGCTTGTCACGTGCATCCGGTTTGCGCTGCGGGCGAAAGATCAAAGCGGCAAACAGCTCGACAGGACATCGCTTGCAAGCAAACAGGCCAGGACACAGGCGCAGCTGTGGTGCTGGGCTGTGAGCGCGCATAGACAGTTGTGACTGCCACCTCCGGTCCAATGCTTCTAGCACCGTTGTTTAAGCGGACAAACACATGGCCATGGGTCAAAATCCCGTACCCCCGGTAAACATTCTAATCTTCACTAAAATAGACTAAAATGGGTGGTGCGCCTACCCCAAGATGGTACCATGGGCTTTGACCCACAGCCATGTCACTGCCTGGAAGTGCTCTTCGGGTCCCTGAGAAAGTCGGATGGCCAATGGCATGGAGTCCCATTCGTGCAATGGACTAGGCTTCGAGCATCACTTTCTGACAAGGGCCTGTCAGGGTCATGATGGGTCAAAATTAAACCACCAGGGGACCGCAGGTTTTGGTCCTTGTTTCCATTTACCAGGGTTCCATTTGGGGTACTGATTTTTGACCCACAGCCATGACAGCCTTGACAATGAGACAAACATCTAGGCTCTCGGCTTCTCAATCTCTGGAGCAACAGGTTCTGGCTGATGGTCTGATGCTTCCTGCTTGCCGGCTTGATGAGCATGGCTCACTAGAGACACCCACCTCTGGAGCTTGATTGTCGGTATGCTCAGACCGCGGGTGACCACATCGCCGACAACGTTCCTCTCCAAAACAGAAACGAGTCTCCCACTCGACGAACATGTGCCACAGGCAGGCCAAAGGCTTTGTAAAGGCAAGGCAGCCAGCTAGAGCGCAATCAGCTGCCTCTTCAGTGGAGTCAATGCCTTCCACCACCTGCAAATCTGAACAGAAAACGACGGAGCCATTTTGCGAACGCAGGCCTTGTATTGGCTGCAAGCTCCGTGGCGAGAAGATTCCTCCAGCCAAGTGCTCGATTCACGCCAGTCTCTGCAAATGGCACAAGTTGCAGCCATTGCTATGACGGTCAACGGGCCTGGCCAAGCAGCCCGCTCAAGCACTTCACTTCCGTCCAGCCACCCAGAAACCTGGATGTGACAAATCGAAGCCGTGCCTCAAACCGGGTTAACCTTGAGTCAAGGGGCGTCACTCCAGCTGGAACGGCTGGTGAGTACACCACTGCCCGTACCTGCATCCGGCATTGCCCAGCACGTGCCATGGCACTGCGAACGCTTCAGGACTCAAAAAACTCCTGAGTTTCGAGCTCGAACTCTCACGGTAGCGCCATTGCGGAGGTTGCCCAGCAAAACAGCGGTCTCACAAGACTCCAAAGTGGGGTATGGGTCTCTTTTGGTTTTGGCGGAGCACCACAAGGAAAACATTAACATTTGGGGGTCCCTCAAAAGACACACCTGCGTGCATTGCCTTCCAGCCAAGTGAACCACATGCACACACCGGATTGATTGGCCTTTCCAAGCGGAACGTCAATCTTGCCGTGGCCCGAGCCTCGCAAGAACGATCCACTCGCTCCAACGCCGGCAGATTTCGGCGAAAGGTGCCTCTCAGTTGAAAGGGATGCCTCTCGCAAACCCAAGCATCGCAGGCAGATAAGCAGCTTGGATCGGAACAGGCAAATGTCAAAAGCAAGATACGCCCACAAACATACAAGAACAGCTATGTGGGATAAAGTTGCATGGAAGAACGCAGTTCTCCAATGCTGCCGATACTGCTGTCAAATGACGAGAGAAGGGTCTGGCAAGCACAAACCAGCACGAAGCGTGCGGAGCTGTGCAAAACAAAGCACTAATTGCGACGCCTTTGATTCGCCGATACTTAGACACAGTTGGAAAATTATGCACACAAATGCTGCCCTAACCCAAGATTTTGGTTCTTCCCCCTTGGCCATCTTGCATCAACAAAACTTACATGGGCCTGTGCGATTGGAATGGGCAGCATAGGTTCCGCTGGCCTCCTTGCAGCTTCCAGTCCAAAAAGTAGCGGGTGACCTCAGCTTGTGTCATACAACACTTGCAGCAAGCGCAGCTTTTGCCGAGCCAAAAGAGCGTCGCAGGTCGACTCAACTTGATGCGGAAAAAGGCACAGGCCTCATTGGATGGCAGCTCCTTCCAGCAGAGATAGAGGGCTTCTTCGAAGGCCTGCCCGAAGTTGTGAGGCTGCAGGCATTGCCAAGGGCAATGAAAGCCTGCTGCAAGCGTATGCTAGACCACTGAGGAATCAGCGACCTTAGTGCGGGAAGTCCAGAGCTGGAGAAATTGGCTGAAGAGTCTAAGCCCTCAAGCGGTCTGCCGCGGATGGTAGTTGGCACCTGAAAAGTCCCCTTGGAACTTTACAGCACGATTCAAATCACTTAAAATTCAATGGATGTTCTGTTCAGGGGTTCATTGTTTATTGCCAAAATTCCGTCAGTTGCCCGGCAGCATATGAGATTCCCTGCCGGCCATGTGCAGTGAGTCGCACTTTCTGTCAGCCCTCGATTTAGAGGATTCACTCTTATGGTCACCAAGCCGAAGCCTTATGGCTGATGGCTGAGGTGCTTGGGCTGGCGACGTGCAGGCCTTCCTTGTGGCCTTGATTTCATGTCCACCGTCACTTGGGTCAGCGTCACGGTTCTCACGCCCGCAACTACTGTTCAGCGTCTTGCAGTTTGAACTGAACATGAACGCCTCGAAACTTTTGGAAATCAGACTTGGCCTAGAAAGAGAACACTGCAAGGTTCTGTGGTGCCGTCATGAAGTGGGTGAAAAGTTCACAGCTTTGCTGTTCCCTTCACGCACAACAGGGCTTTGCGTCGCGCCATACATGGCCGAACATTTATGCAAGCCCAGAACGGTTCACTTTGCAAGCCAAGAATTAGATCAATATGCACATTAGAAGGTTCTACAATCGCGTTCAACGCGCTGCATATTGCAGCCGAAAAGTCATAACATGTCAGGTGAAGTAAGGTTTGGAAGTCAGAACCTCTTGATTGCAGGTGCGGCTGCTTCCAGTCGACCCACAAAATCGCCCGTGGCTTGCTTGATGTTGCAATGTATTGATATCATTGGTTCTGACAGCCCTGCAGAACTCCTGCGATGGTTTTGAGGCAAACGCAGCCAGCCTTTGTGAAGCAAGGATACATTCTAAATGAAAAACATTGAGCAAATACATTCACATTCTGACATAGCAATGTTGCTGCGAGCCTCCTTCGTCGAGTGGCTGCACAACGAGTGCAGCCGTAAATATCGATTCTGATAGAGTAGCTGGTGTTACACGGTGCAAATTGTGCTGTCCCTTGCTTGACCTATCATCTGAACACTGGTCAGGATAATATGGTTGTGTGTCGGCGACGTGCGATTAGCACAGAGCCTTCCCACACTCACAAAACACTGCGCTCATTGCCTTTCTGACGCTCAGAAGCTTGGTGGCCTGAATACGCTAAAGTAGCACCACAACCTTTATGCTACAACACTCCTGCCTCTCCATTTACACGGTGTTTGGGGAGTCGCTCGGAAATACTTCGCTGACTGCCTGACAGATGGCTTCGAAATGTTGGAAAATCATTGATGCACATATATGCAGCTCAAAAAATGTGACTCATTCTAACAGTGCTAACATCTTGGATACATATCGATCCTGCCTTGCGTGCCATACTTGAGATGGACATGTGCTCCTCTCGCATCACATCGCTCAACTCTTCAGGCCTGGCTACCGATTTACCCGAACAATGCGTCATGTACGGCAAGACGTGTCAGGAGTTCGCAATTGAGTTGAGCCGCTCGCAAAAGTGAAGCGCATACCTGCGAACCGAATTGGTGAAAAAGAAGAATGGCGGCAAAAACACACACACACACACACACACAAACACACACACACACACACACACACACACCCACCCACCCACCCACCCACCCACGCACGCACGCACGCACGCACGCACGCACGCACGCACGCACGCACGCACGCACGCACGCACGCACGCACGCACGCACGCACGCACGCACGCACGCACGCACGCACGCACGCACGCACGCACGCACGCACGCACGCACGCACGCACGCACGCACGCACGCACGCACGCACGCTTGGCTGGAGATCCCGTGGAGCACATTTGGCAGAAGCTCCATGGCCTGAGTCGAAATGCATGCATGGGTGCCCGAGGAAGAAGCGCGCCACAGGGAACGTGTCCGGGCTCTTTCGCCAATACGGAACAAGAACAGAGAAAGAAGAAGCCACGATGGCAGGAAAAGGCTAGAAGCCGTGAGGAGAGCTCCGCAGCGGCAAAAGGCGAAGCGAAAGCCAAGGTTGAAGCGCCAGCAAGAGGAGGAGCGGCGCCAGACGGGCGGAGCGAGAAACCAGCCCTCTGAGGGGCCAAGAGCAACTCCCCTCTGCCGACTGAGAACTGCCAAGATGTTGAGAAAAGGATAGCCAAACGGCAACAGCGAAAGGGTGAACACTTGAAACGCCTAAAAAAGGCTGCTCGAGTATGAAAGAGCTAGTGTGGTAGAACACTCGACAAACATGTCTGTTTGCAAAGGGGTATCGTCAAACAATTCGAAATCAACCAGTAACCCAGTGGATGGTTGTACCCCTGGTTCCGGAGTAACTTCGAACCTCCACGTGAACCTGTGCAACGAACACGAAGACAAAGTAAAGCAACGCAAGCTGAAGCACGGCTGAGGCCAGCCACATATGATGCAAACACATCTCTCTCTCGAAGACGTCGTTGCTGGCATGTAGAGGCAAATTCAACGCCGTCTCGTCTACGTGCAACTACCCGACCATCTGTTCTAGGTGCACTGTGGTCACTCTACGGTTCTGTACGAGTTGAATTTGTTCATTCTCTCAAAACAAGAGAGGTGTCGGCGGAGCGCATGAATCAAGATGAGTGCTTTCTTTTCGGGGACCCCCAAAATGGTGGGCCCCCCTTCAAACCAAGAAAAGAAGCAAGAAAAAAAAAGTTCCCCGAAAAAAGACAGGCCCAATTGCATCAAACATGCCAATGAGCACGCAATGCCAATGAGCTCTCCGGGCGACAGCCTGAGCATGGGAATCGCCATAGCTCACTATTGCTGATATGGCTGTGGGTCAAAACCAATGGTACCGGTGCACCACCCTTTTAGTCTATTTTAGTGGGTTTTGACCCATGGCCATATATGTTGTTTCCGAGTACATAAAATCTGAGTAGCTGCAAAGCGAACTCAAGCCCACTGACTCAAAAATGCAAATCCTCGCCCAGAATTCAATCTGCATTGCCTTGGGTCCTGGCACCTTGCAGTCGCCCATGTGACGCCACACCACCCAAAGTGCTGCTTCCACAAACGCTTCCTGTGCCAATATGTGTAACCCGAAGCAAGGCTCGAAGCTGGCTCCTTCTCCTGGAGTGGGGGCTCAAGGACCAGGTTGTTGAGCCCCATGTACCTGAAAACAACGCCGAATTCACTGAAAACAACGCCGGCTCTCGAAGCACATGGAGCCCAACGTGGCAAGGGCACTCCAGGTCACCCTGCTTGACAAAATACATTTGCTTCGCTTCATGGCCTACCAAAGCACAATGTTCAAGGCCGTGGATCGCCTTGCGCCTGGTGGAAGTCTGATGTCAACGCTGAACAGCGCTGTGGCCAGACAGCAAAACGCTGCTAGATACAAACAGCCACATTTCGAAAAGGATTCCACGAAAACTATACAAGCACTGGGACTCGAAAGTCTGAGATGCCGTCTCAGCTGGATTACAGAGCGACTCAACCGATGAAAACAGCCTGAGGGATGGAGGGAAGTGAGGCTCTGTTCGGGTGCCCAAGGGGAGGGCCTCTCTGAGGCGGACGGCAGACCCGTTTAGGAGACGGGGAGGGCCATCACGCCTCGCCTGCCGTGAAAACAAAGTCCCCGGACGCAAGGCCGATCTCTGTGAGTGCTGAGTGACATAGTCGGTGCATGAATACCTGGCCGCACGGCTTCTTCGGATCTGTTCCAGTATACGCAAAAGCTGCTGATTGCCCTCCCAAGGCCAAGCCGGCTCCACTGGCATCTTCGAGCTGACCGCAGAGAAGAAAGCATGCCCCGTCAACCATTGCACCATAGTCTCATACCTGGTACGATGGACCGCTTGACCCAGAAGCATCAATCGCCACTTTGGGGATCATCCATCTTGCGGTTTGCATGCGCACTCATGACATGCCAATGGTCAAAGCTAGTCTAGTTGGCTTCAAGAAACTACATGGGTGTGTCTTTTTCCAGGCACCCCCAAAAGGACGCAACGGTTTTCCTATAATGATCCTTGTGGAGTTCAATCCGCCCTTTTCGCAATCGGGTGTGCCTTTGTTGAAACCCCCTTTTTTGTGGTTTCAAAAGGAAACCAACTGGAAAACCCACCATTTTGGGGGTCCCCCCAAAAAACACGACACAGCCCCATGTTGGGGGTGTAACATATATCGACTTAGGCATCTGCGAGAGTTCCTTTCGCAACGGCTCGGAAAGCTGGTCCAGAATGAGCACGCTGCCTCGATCACCCGTCTGGATGGCATGCAAAAGAGCACTGCCACACGAAAAATCTATCTTGAAGCGTGACGCTTCACAAAAGTTGCTCAGAGCATATCACAAGGTTCACGCTACTGTGGACTATGTCGTGCTCCTTCTGAGTCTGGAGATCCAAGACAGTACTGCCGCTCTTTGCCCGATCCACTGCCAAAGCCGGGCCTTGTACTCAAGGAACTTGGTGATTCGCAACTGCCTGATTGGCCACCATTGCAGCCAAGAGATGCAGCCAACGACTTGCAGACAAGAATTTGGGCATAGGTAGATCGAAGCCAGTTCTTTGAGCTCCGGGCAGGTCTCTTCGAATATGTCGCTGCTTCAAGTATCTTCGCAGCATCCAGAACTGCTTCATCTGGGCACCCTGAAGGCTCTCAATCAGAGCCCTGTGACTCTCTCAGGCTGAGAGCTCTGCTCGTAAGCTCTGCAAATGAGACATGGATGCCTCAGGATCCGCCACACACGACTCCTCCGCAAGCGACTCGCTTTTGGTGGGTTCAATTCGGAAACCCAACCACTAAGCCAACCAAAAAGCAAAAACCCAGTTGGGATCACCAGGTACACCAATGCCGGGGCACAGTGATGTGACCAACAATGGAGGAGAAGGCCACCTCGGCTGTCAGAGAGAAATGCGGGAGTAAGCAGTCGGCAGCCGGGTAGGCGGTAGGCCCCAAGAGCTCCATTTGAGCCTCCTGCCATTGCGAAGAAGAGGACCAAAATGGATGTAATCCGCTCCATAGTATTCGAAGCCGACACATTCATCCTGACCAGGTTGACAATGGCATGCCAAAAATTGG